CCCTGGCTGCCTGTCATGCGGGCCTCGATGGCTTGCCAAAGCTCAGTAAGCAGCCCTCTGCCTGAAATTGCCCACCCCTGTCCTAGGCTGATTACATCCAGATTCCAGTATTCTTAATCAAGCTTAAATGGTAGCAACTAACATTTTAATTCTTCTGCAGTAGATGTTTATACCCAAGCACATGTTATGTTCTAGAAATTTGCTAAAATACTGCTACAGGAGGGGATGTTATAGTATAGTGATGCAGAGAGCTTTTTTCCCAACATTTGAAAGAATGGGCCTTGAATATGACCCGGACATGTTTATCCTAATTGGACAACAGAGTAGGGTACCTGGGGGGGTGTTGCTGCTTTATGGACTGAGAAGTGTCTCTCTCTCTCTTTTTATGGAAAAGAAAACTAAAAAAAATTGAGCAACATTTATGATGCTATTGGCATTGAATTAAAAAAAATGTCAAGAGGAGAGTTTCTTCAGGGCTGGCAGGACTTTCTCAGGCCAGCCTACGAGGAACTGAGAGGTAAAAGGCTCTCCTATTTTGGGGGCAGTGCAGTAGAAAATAGAGCGTAATACTTCTTTGTGCACCCATGCTAGTGTCACAAAAAAAAAGGATTCTGAAATTGCAGTGTCCTCTCTGCAGAAGAGGCACTTCTGATTTAAGGATGGCAGTCAGTAATTACTGGTTTGTTTTATGACATTCCAAGCCCCCTATCAACCAGAAGAGCCAAACAGGCAGTCACTAGCTCAGAGCAGCTATGATAGCTGAGGAATGAATGAGAATTTCCCAGAGGGATCTTCCTCCATTATCAGTTATTCAAAATTAATCTGAGTACCTTGTTCTTTTTGAAATTGCTAATGTTAAATATTTAAGGCTCACTCTTGGGCGATAAGACACGGATGACTGAATTGTCAAGGGATGCGAATGCTTACATCAGGCCATCTCCAACCCGGGGAACTTTAGGAGGTGTGACGCGAACCACAAATGAAGCTATTCTGTTATGTGAGGGAGGAGGCTATGACATCATTCTTGTGGAAACAGTAGGTGAGTGATTTAAAAAAAAAAAACCCAACAGAAAGTAAGCACTTTAATCCCTCTACAATGTCCAGACCAGTTGTGAGACAACAATTTTGCTTATTGTTTTTTACAACGTTTTTTTCTTTCTCCATTTTGGTCTGTTACTTCCATACATTGTCATTGACTTCACCCATTGGGGGCAGGCTATTAGTTTCTTTTAACCTATACAGTCTCACATAACTCCTTAAAGTAGATTTAATCCTGACTCTTGGTGCATCTGTGTTTTAATGCTTTCCTTTTGAGGCAGACCAAGTGGGTTCTCTTTTTGGCTGTCATGGGAATGGCTGTGAAAAATGGGTAATTAATTTTGGTTTTAATTTTTCAGGTGTAGGGCAATCAGAGTTTGCTGTTGCTGATATGGTTGATATGTTTGTATTGCTGCTACCACCAGCAGGGGGAGATGAATTGCAGGTATTTTTCAATTTTATCCTTCTGAAATGCTAATTATAACCTCAAAGATGAGTCTTAATTTTTGGTATGATATGATGCATGTGCGTTGTTTGTTTAACCAAATCTAGGTAGTTTACAAAGCAGTTGGTGTTAGTCTAACTTTGCTGGTATTAAAGTTGGCACCTTAACAAAATGTCCCACAGAATTTAGATCTGAATTCTTGAATTTTCAAGACACTAGGATTTCAGTTTTGGTTCATACCAGATAGATATATGGCAATTCTTGAATTCTTATGTGGTTAGAAGACAACAGGAATAATTTATGTAGCAATTTGTTACCTCAGCCAACTCCATCACAACTGCTAGATATCATGCCAACGTACTCATATGAGGATTTTAATTTCGTGAAACAGAAATTCCTAAAGTCAGTGTTTCCAATTGCAAAAATAATTCATAACTGCTAATGAAGGTCTCCAAGGTATTACAGTTTCATGGCTAAAGCATGAGACAATCAAGGGACGATACAGGAAGCTGAAGCTTTGTTCTTGTTTTGTTCTTTTTTTTTTTAATGTATTCTTAATGACATCATGCTGATAATCATTATGCTACAACTTTTCCAATCATTATTTCTTTTTTTTTTTCTTGTTCTTTTCAGGGCATCAAAAGGGGTATCATTGAGATGGCAGATCTAGTTGTTGTAACTAAAGCTGATGGTGATTTAGTTGTACCTGCACGGAGAATACAGGCTGAGTATGTTAGTGCCCTGAAACTCCTTCGCAAGCGCTCGAAGGTTTGGAAGCCAAAGGTTTGTATGTCTTTTCTACAAATACTTGTTTATTTTTGAAGGAGTGTTGAACAGGTTACACAAGACAAGGCAAGTCCAACCACATTTTGGCTATCTTGCAAATAAAAAATTCTGATCTATTGCTTGGTTTTCCATCACACCTGGAATTATGTGGGTGCTGTGTCTATGCTATCTCTTTAATTATGGGTACCCTCCCTGAACCACTACACAAAATGGTTATCCTGTTCTCCAAAACCTTTCCTGAGACTCATCTCGACATGCCATACCTACAGCAAACTACTGACTGATAATGGCTAAATGAAGGGCCAGTTGAGCTTCTTGATTTAAAAATATATATATATTTTTAGAAGTCTAGGAACCATCTTGTATATATTACCAGTCTACTTAATATCACTGTTATCCTCATTTTTTTTACTTTTAATTTCCTTCCTACTTCCCATTCTCTCTATTGGTCATTGTATCCACTTGTCATTTTCCATATTGAAATAATCTCTCTGGGGCAGGGTACTTATGTACTTGTTTGTGTAGAGGGAACCCTGATGCCGAGGGCTTCTAGTTATTGCTGTGGTCCAGATAGCCAGAATTGTGCATTTTATGATTTAAGGCAGTGTTTTTCAAACTGTTCCATGGAATCCTGGGATTTTGCCATCGGGTTTTGCAGAGTGATTGGTGGTAATGACAGAACGAACTGGGAGGTGCTATGCAGCTATTGCTGGGTTGGATCACCTGGCTCCATGTCAGTCTTTAGGATAGCGGTAGGGGTGCCTCAGAAGCAGAAGTGGTATGAAAGGCTTCTGTGACTTTAGGAAGTTTGAAAACTACTCATTTAAGGCAAAGATGCAGTAATATTATGTGAAGGAGGTTTTGTGGACTGTCAGATGACATTTGAGCCAAATGGATTGCCTGAGGCTTGTACATGTTTTGG